AACCCAAAAGGACCATGCACCATCGGGTCAAGTACATACCAAAATAGTTATGGACTTAGATACTAATCCAACAGGTATACCATACACACACGTACATGTCAACACCGACAATGATGCCCACTCAACCCCACCCATGTACCCACACCCATACGCATTCATTTACACCCATGCTAACAAGCTTGCATATGATTGGGGTTAGAGTTAAATTAATGAAAGTTTTATCTTTTTTAATTAAAATAATAATAAATTACAAAACAAAATCAATAAAAGCGTTTCTTGGTCATATTATACAATATACTTTCTAATACCATTGACAAATTTGCAAGCCAAACAGAAAACAGAAAACAGATCTAATTTTGTGTCAACCAAACGCATAACACATAACAGATTCTAGTTCTTTGAACTCCAATTCCTTTGGCGGATTTCATTCCCTCCAAAAACATTATTTGAACCCAACACCCCCTAAGAATATATTGCGATAAAATTGGGAAACTATGTTGCGATGTTCTTTATTTGTCGTTGATGTCAAAACCAGCTAACTATGAGAAAAAAAAGAGCTTTATCATAAACCTCAACTCGATAAGGATTGGTCCAGATGTGACAAATATACTATTGTCTCATCTACTTTAAATAAGCTAGAAATTACCATCGGATTTAAATTATGTCGCTATTTTGTCGGTATTACGTCGCTAAATTAAGGTTTTTTTTTGTCACCGTCCACACCAATGTTTTAAAAACCGGTTTTTTAGTTGAACCGGTATAGTGACCGGTTCCTGGTTTAACCGGTTCGACCGACAGGTCAATCGGTTTCTATAATTTTCGTATTTTTTCATATTTTTGTATACATACATACATATATAAATCATGAATTTGATGTTTACAAGTTCAAACATTAAAAATATACATAAAAATAAGTTGCAGATCACTTCAAATACATTAAAACAACACATAACCATAAATTTTAATGTTTTGCATCAATCCATATACGTCAAAAAGAAAATAAAGTATAATACCGAAACAGAATATAGTTTTAGATGAATACAAACACATCAAAAAACTTTATAACATTATCATATGTTTTTATTTAGAGAAAACTACATAGATTTGAAAAAATTCACCAAAGTTTATTATGCAAATGGTTTTTTTGCATGTGTTTTTATTTGGTTTAACCGATTCAACCGGGTTTTTCTAAAAACCGGCCGGTTCAATCCGGTTCAGAAATCGACGCAAAACCGATGATAGTTGAACCGCTCCCTTTCCTGGTTCCCGGTCAAACCGGTTCAACCAGCCGGTTCAAACCGGTTTTTAAAACATTGGTCCACACTAAGATTATGTGATATGCCTCTAACGCACATTAGTTTTTGCATATGTTACATCACCCTCTCATATGTTATGTAGAGTGAATGCTTGTTAAGCTAGTAACATCGCTTAACGCCTCTCTCTTTCTCTCTCATAATATATTATTATATTAAAAATTAAGAGTGTTTTGGGTGGTGGAATGGTTGGGTATTTCTTAGGCTATGGTGAGTGGTCATACACAAGTCCCTCAAAAATTGGTACCAACTCAGCGACATATCAGCTTCACTACAAACTCACCACCAAACCACTAGACATTGAAAATAGTTACCACTCCATAATATTTATCTTTTTTTTTAATTTTTTTTAACACTAAATTAAATAAAAAAAACATATTTTAAAACATAAATAAATATTTTACATTAATTAAAAACCACATTACATTAATTAAAAAACATAGAATTTTAAAACCTAAATTACTAAAAAAAATATAAAAAAATATAGAAAATTAAACCTAAATTACTACAAAAACATAAAAGACATAGAATCTAGTGGTTATATTTTACCCGAACTTGTTGTTGGATTTTTAGAAACGCGGTTAGATTTTCCGGATCGAGATCCGGTTGTGGCTTTGTGTTTAAAATTTGAAGATCGGTAAGTGTCATTTTTCGGTGACGAGCTTCCTCCGTTGATTCAATTTTTTTCTAGAAAACTTAGAGTCTTGTCTATTTTTTCCGCAAGCACGTCTTCGCAAACCACTTTTCCGCTGAAGACCCCGTCTTTCTCGATTTGTCCCTTCCCGATGGTCGACGAAGTTGGACTTCCGGTGGGCCCTCCCCCTCGGTGTCGTTGAACTCATCATTGAGGTCGAGGCCAAAACCCACGTCAGACTCGGAAGTTCTTGGCCTTTTGTTGGATCCAGTGGTAGATCCCGAATGCGCTGTCTCCGAATAAAGAACCCATTGTGGACCGTTACGACAAATTTCCCACGCTTTTTGGTTGCCAAACGGTTTACCATTATTGGTAATTTTGTATTGGTAGCATGCGGTCGATAAAATATTCAAAATCGTTGCTACCACTTTTGTGCTTATTTTTAAGATTGTCAAATATGCCATTAAATTTCATGCAAGGCGCTCGTAGGTCACGGCATTTTGCATTGACCGAATCATATGTCCGCTCTGTTTCCCTTCCTAATAGCGTATGAAAATGGTCTAGACAGTGGCGGACCTTGCCACTGCTCAATTTCCGGCACGTAGTGTAAATTTTTTTTTCTATTAGGTGCACCTAGGGGTGCAAACGAGCCAAGCTACTTGCGAGCTACTCGAGATCGGATCGTTAAAAGCTCGACTCGAAACCGATTTTAAACGAGCCCGAGCCGAGCTCGAGCTTAATATTAAGCTTGTTTATTAAACGAGCTCGAGCTCAAGCCTATGTCACTAAGCTTGATTAGGCTCGCGAGCCTAAACGAGCCTTTATATAATATAATTTATTATTATTTATATATATTAAAATAAAAACATATTAGGGGAATTATGAATTTAGGGTATTAGTAAACGAGCTTTTTAACAAGCTCGAGCCGAGCTTAAGCTTATTTAGGCACGTCAGAAAAAAACGAGTCGAGCCCGAGCCTGAGCCGAGCTTGTATAACTTTTTACGAGCTCGAGCCGAGCTCAGTAAAAGAAAGCTCGAATCGAGCCGAGCTCGAGCTCGAGCCTCATATAACTTAAACGAGCCCGAGCCGAGCTTGGCCAGGCTCGGGCTCGGCTCGGCTCGTTTGCACCCTAGGTGCACCGGCTTGAAGTACGAGGGACACCCCTACTAAAACAGTCTGTGTCCGCCATTAGGTCTAGAACACGATTTTGAAAACTTTGACCTGATTGCACGTTCCCGGTGTCACAGTCTTGCGATATAAAAATTCAAGCTTTAGCTAAAGCTTCCTCCTCGTCTTCGGTCCATTGTGTAGTTCTTTTTTTTTGGTTCTTTTCCTTTTTTTTTGCCTTCTTCGAGTTGGGATTGAGATAATGGGAATTGAGATAGTTGTGAAGGTTGTACGTAAAATTGTTGAGGTTGAAAATATTGGGGTTGAAATTGTGAAGAAGGTTGTTGTTGAAAGGCTTGAAATTGATGTTGATTGAATTGTGGTGGTCGCTGTTGTTGGTAGTAGTTTGGGTGGTATGAAAGATTGGTGAATAGATGTTGTTGGATTAGAGATGTTATCAATTGCATGTAACTAAGATTTGCATATGGATCATTTGGAGTGTTTAGGGTATTTGGAGTGGGTGAGGTATTTTGATTTGGATCCATATGTTGAATAAAATAAAGAATATGGAAAGATATTGTGTGTTTTTTAGTGTAAAATGTGTGTAAAATAAGTGGTATTTATAGTTATAGTATATGGTTTTTAAATTGAAAAAGAACTTTTTTTTTTTGGTCCAAGAGTAAAAAAGAAAAAAGAAACAAAGGAACCGGTCAAATTTTTGACCGTTGCTGCTGCCCTCCTCTTCCTATTGGCTGTTTTCGAACGTCTTCCCATCCACCTCACATCCAAGTCACTGGACACCTGGCGTTGTTCATGCGTGGCTTGGGGTGCCTCTTCTTGTGTACCATTCCAGACAGCCTTATGGTAAGTGGTTGTGAAGTGGTGAAGTGTTATGATGTTATGGGTACCCGTAGCCTAACAAAGCCTAACAAACACTGATCACGTTAGATTATGTGTTCCCTTTCTATTGCAGTAATATTTAAGTTTCAAAGAATCTGTTGCTTTATGCACTTCTTTTCCTTTTTGTACTTAAAAGTAAAACAATGCTCCCTAAAAGCAGAAAAGCTAACAAAACTTCTCTGTGAAACGATTAATTAAAGTGACCTCACAAAGTTTAAATGGCAATCAAAGTTTGTGAAATTTAAAGTAGCCCATAGCCTAGTCATCCTACGTAGGTGTGTGAATTTTCCCTAGCTATCCGCTGTAATGGCTGACAACATGACATCGACAAATTACAGAAGGATTAATGCTGACCTGTATAAAGCTCTGTCAGAAGGAGATGATGCAAATGTATGTGATATATGTCGAGACTTGCCAGATGGTCCCTTGCACAAGCTAACCATACACGATGACACTGTTCTCCACATTGCGAGTTACTACAAGCGTAATAAGCTCATTCTTCAGCTACTCAGTCTGCTACCTGAAGACCAACCTGACAAACTCACATTAAAAAATGATGTCGGAAACACCATTCTTCATGCAACAGCCACCAACAATAAGACAGTCGAGGCTGCTGCTGAGATGTTGCGCCGAGCTCCTTCATTGCTCACCATGACCGACATGCTGGGAGAGACGCCTTTTTTCCGTGCAGCCCGTTTTGGAAAGAGCAAGAGTTTCCATTTTCTTGAAGCTGAAGTGCGTAAGAGATTTCCAGAAGATGCAGAGGTAAGGGCCTTTCTTGTAAAAGATGATAAAGCAACTATACTTCACGTTGCAATTCATAGTGAGAACTTCAGTAAGTGTCTGTTTGTGGTGACACGTAACTTTCTTGAAAATTTTCCTTCAATCCAAATGTCTA